GCAAGCAGTGGGAAGAAATGAATGACCAAAAAAAACAACGAATGACAGTTGTCTGGGTTGAGGCCGGCACATTTACTCTGACGTGGCAGTGTCCATCAAAAGCTTATGGATGCTGCGAAACAACACCTCGTACGGATATCGCTGCCCACTCCCTTCCGCAATATGAGGAATAATAGCAGGCTGATCAATTTCCTGGATTTTATAATAGAAGTGTGGCACGTGGCAGTTAAACAGAGAATACACACGAAACAAGAGTCGCCAAGAACAGTCAACTTTGAGGGGGGAAAGTAAATAGTAAATAATAATAAAGTAATAAATAAAAAAAGTTGAAAAAAACACAGATTTGCATGTTATGAAGTTCACACGCACATTGCATTCATATTTCCTGATTAAAAAAAAAAAAAAAAAAAAACAGCCAAAGAAAAGGGAAAAAGAGTTTAAAAGACCCAAAAAGTTCTGAAAAAACTTTCAAAATTCAAAAATAATAATTGTCCTCAGATTAATGTGCGGAATTACTACCGTAGTTGCAGATGACCATTCACAGTTGTTAGCAGCCGCAGCCGATCCCAGCTCACTCAGGCCATGCTCACACGAAGGACTTTTCAACTGAGCTCTGGAAGTGATTGCATTCAGATACATCTTTGTTGGGCTGTAATTCTAGTCAGGTGCATCTAGGAAAGCACTAGAGTGAGTGCGCCCTCGCTCTCCTTCCACCTCACCCCCACAGCTTCCCAAGGTACTCAGCATGAGAAAGTGTAGAGACAAGAAAGCACACACAACAGGGGCCCTTCGTATGCGATTATTTCTTTTTTTTTTTCTTTTTTTCCCCCGAATCAATTTACAACCTACACCGCCACTACCTTCCAAGCTGGAGTCCCGAGTGGGAATATAACCTATACCACATTTTTCAGGAACCAGGCCGCCGTTGGGCCGCCATTGATAAATTTTGGCAGCCATTCGGTGTTGCATACCCGGACGGTTGGCGGTCCTTGACTGGTCGAATGCCGACCAGCCAACCGATCGGCTGGTCGGCACCTACCAGTCGGGGATCGTCGGCACATTGCAAAAAAAAAATAAAAAAAAAATAGTTCGGGTCCAGAACCCCTAATAACCCCACCAACAACCCCATAGCGGCCCCCAATACCCTCATACACCCCCAAACCACCCCCAACACCCTCATTCCCCCCCCCCCCCCCCCCCCCCCCCAATACCCCCTATACCACCCCTATACCCTCCTATACCATCCCCCCCAACCCCCCCAAGAGTTTCTCAGCGGATTTCGGCTGTACTCAGCAAGCACAGGACAGGCCCCAACTCAGATTTGAAAAAAACTAAGTGGCTGGTTGTTTTCTGACTGGTCAGCAGACCGCCGACCCGTCGGCCCTACTGGTCAGCTGCAATACAGTCGGCGGTTGGCAGGTATGCAACCCTGCCTCCATTGACAAATTTCACCGGCGGCCTTTGTTGCGTTACCGGCCTCCTAAACTCGCGGGGCCACGCCCGCGGCCGATGTATGGCAAAGGCAAGTGGGGTCCTTAGCCCAACCCGATTCAATCTTCTGTTCCAATCTGACAAGACGGCTTTTCAGGTCTTTTATTATCATTTTAGTATCACAGGAACCTTATAGAAGCCATATCTGTGTTCACGAGAGAACATGCAGGAGGCTGCACGTGACCTGCAAGTGGGTGATACCAGCCAGCTGTCAGCCGGCAGCTGCGGCAGCATCAGGGACCGGCCCAGCTGGACCAGTCACTGCGTCTCCCCTCTGGTTCCCCTCCCCCTACAAACATCAGCAGTATCTTCTTCACGTCAATTGGGGGAGCCCAACAGGCTACCTTTAGATGGCAGGCACACCAAGTATGCACAGAAAAGGTATATGAGGCGAATGGGAATCGAACACATGACCTCCTCAATGCTACTTGTGGTCCTCTGGGACATCTGTTAAAATTGGAACAATACAGAGAAAAGATTAGTACGGCGGCCTTTTGGTTAAGATCATCTGTAGTATCTGTTCAGATCAGTTTTAAGTTTAAACCACCAGTACATCCAGGCCCGGTGGCGCCACACTGCGCGCCAAGCTCTGTCGAATCGTCAGCAGCGCGCCTTTCTTCTTTTTTGGCTGGTGCCATCAGCCGTAGTGATCCAGTCGCCCCAGACCTCCAAAATTTTAGGAGAAGGTTATGGAGAAATCTTGCAAGGCTGGGGCTGTGTACTGATGGTTTAACACCTGATCCATGGTCCATAGGACCACACACACAAAAAAAAATAGTAGTATGGCCCCTGCGCAAGGATCACACCGATTAATCGAGAAACGTCTGAAATGCTCCAAAAAAAAAAAAAAAAAAAAACACAGCTTTCCACTTTCCCTTTTTTTTCCAGAACCACCCAAATGCAGACTCTGTATCCGACCGAAAAGATAGCTTGTATATGTTTCCGAAAGACTCTAAACTTTCCACTTTACACTTTTCCCCAAAAGGGTTGCTAAGCAAAATGGCACAGCAGCAGAGTATACCGTCTTCCCCCAGATACAAGAATACAACACACCCTCGTTTTTTTTCCCCCTACCATCTTCCCCCAGATACAAAAATAGAACGCACGAAAACAAAAAGAAAGAAGAAGACAAAGAATAAAAAACATCCTCATCATGACTGTATAGAACAAGAAAGAGAGCGGATGGCCCAGTGGTTAGGGCACCGGTTGGAAATGCACACTGTGGTCTGAGGTTGAGGGCTCCAAACCCTGCAGCCTCGTGCATAGGCCGCCGGCACGGTGTTAGGTTGATGCACTACCACTCACACACTGAGCACGCGTGCAGCCAGGGGGCACGGATGCACGTAAGGATCCGCATAGACCTGACCGGGGGTCCACCTGAGAGGGTGCCCAGCAGATACTAGCCCCTGCACAGTCCTGGGTCCTCCGGAACAACTGTGTGCACCTCCCCTTGGGTTGCTGGAGGCCATTGGGGGGGACGGCTCCAAGAGGGGCACGATCAGTGGGGATGAGTACAGGAGGAGTGAAGGGCTCACCACCTTCCTAGCAGGAGCCACACTCATCCCTACAGCACCTGGTGACTGTGGTGCATTTGCCTCCCGACCAAGTGCCTAGGGGATGCAGGACCCTGAGTTCGAGGGGGGTTCGCCCTGGAGCAGCGGCCTGGTAGCTCCGATCCAGGCTGATACTCCCGGGTGTGTGTTGCAAGGTCTCTTTTCTCCCCCCCCTCTGAGAACTACGATCTTGAGTGATTCCTGAGTGCGTGGGTGGGTCAGCTGTGATGACAAGGAGGGCTGAACCTGGCCCGTGAAGCCCCCTGCCGGACTTCCTCATGAGTCATAACCCCGACACGTCCACAACCTTTTAAAAGAAAAAGAAAGACAGCTTGTACAGCAAACCTGTATAGATGGAAAACAGTTGCTGGAAAGGGAAACCAATCAAACAATCAGCTTCATTTGTTTTAAAAGGTGCCTGCTGCATGAAATTCAACGCAAAATGTTGTATCACCCCTTTCCATGGACACTCCACTGCAAAATGACTGCCGTGAAGAATTGACTTTCGAGGATTGCCGCGAAGAATTGACTTTGAAGTTTCTAAGTTTTGACATAACACTTCATTGTCAGGTAATGTAGAAAATCGATACATTCACGATCGGGATGCATTGCATTGGGAAGTTTATGGTAGGTTTCTGAGCAAAATGCTCAACATGGCAGAGCCTACCGCCTTCCACCAAAACACAATGAGCCCTCATCACGAGGGTATCGTACTGGAACGATAGATCGTCAGCATTCATGACAGGGTGGGTTGTGCTTCGGTGAAGGCAGCAGGTTACTCACAAAATGCATTGCAAAAAGCTGAAATGCAATCCCCTTCACACTATGTTTTTACCTCGCACCGTCAAGGATCAGAAGACCGAAAGGGAGGGGGGAAAGGAGGAGGGGGGGGCAAGGGGGGGAAGGGTGTGGAAAGGGCATTAGCGCGAAGTGTCTTTTTCTTTTTTCCTGCTGTCATCCCTGCCTTTGACAAAACAGATGGAGAGAGGGGGGGAGCATTAGCAATTTAGCACAATCTTTTCGTTTTTTCTTTTTGACTTTTTTTCCGTTTGCAATGGTGATCAATATCTGGTTTGCGCACAGGGAGTCGAGCCTCGCTTCACCCCTGCATAGCCCCACGACAGGTGTCCCGGGCAGCGGGTGAATGGCTGTACTCTCTCTATTCCCATCTCTTTCGCTTGAACTCATGCTTGCCTACGAGTAACCGGACCGCTGCCCCCCCAAATAGAAGGGGACCTTGTTTTCCAAAAAAAAAAAAAACAAGAACACACAAAACAGTTAAAAAAACTTCAAAAGTTAAGAACGAAAAAAAAAAACAAAAAACAGAGCCTTTCTGAGCTGTTCATCTCACCTTCAAGACTGCTGCTCTGTCTCCAAGAGAGAAGACTGCTGATCGATTCTTCAGGACTTCCTTACTCGTAACGCGAGAGAAAAGCCCGCCCGTCTTCAGATCCTCAGCAGCAATCAGATCGTTTTTGGAAACTAAGTCAAGCTGCACCTTCATCAATGCCTGAATATATGTCTTGAAGTGTGCACACAGAACCTGGCATAGAAACCCATGAACAGGACAGTCGGCATCACACAGCGAACACATGAGCTCAGACTGACGAAAAAGGTTCATGTACTTACTGCAAGAGGAGGAGGCGGAAGAGGAGCAACATAAAGAAGAAGCTAGAGGAGGGAAGAGGAGAAAGAGGAGGATGGGGAGGACAAAAAGGAGGAAGGGGAGGAAGGGGAGGAAGGGGAGGAAGAGGAGGAAGAGGAGGAGGAAGAGAAAGAAGTTGGAGGAGAAGGAAGCAAAAGAAGTTGCCAGAGGAGGAGAAAGAGGAAGAAGAAGTAGGACAAGGAGGAAGAGGAGGAAGAAGAGCAAGATGAGGAGGAAGAGAAAGAAGTAGGACGACGAGGAAGAGGAGGAAGAGCAAGACAAGGAGGAGGAGGAGGAGGAGGTAGAGGAAGAGAAACGATTAGAAACGAAATTGGTGCATTTAACTTCCTTGACCAGGATACAAAAGTGTGTTCCGAGTAGATTGCAGTTGGTGGAATACACAATCATAGAAATCATACTTGCGGCGCATACGTGAGGTGCGCTGCAAGTGCGGTGCGACCCTGCCAAATTTAGCAAGGATCTCCAGGACAAGAAGAGGGTAGTCGTTCTGCTTGTAGGAAGGCAATAACAGGCCAGCTATATATGGTGTAGCTTCGAATTCAGGTCTGTGTTTCAGCAGTTATGGCTTACTGACTTACAAACTGGCCATGTGATTTCCATGGCTTCACTCCACTACTCACCAAATGTAAAAAACTGGAATGAATCTTCTCCTAGAAACTGGAAACCATACGCGGCCATATGTTTCGTCTTTTGTGCAAGTGGTGACGAGTGGAGCGAGGCCCTTAGGGCCACTGCACGTAAGAAACGGAAAAACAAGAAAACGAGAGAGAGACTGTAGTGTTAGTAGTAAGTTAGTAACCCATAACTGCTGGACACAGACCTGAATCACAATCCAGAATATATTGCTGGCCTGCCGTGTCCTCCAGTGTTTCGGTGAACGTCTTTCCAACGACATTGGACCCCTGCTAATTCTCTGCTGGGGACCCTTTGGAAAACAGACGAGCTCCAATGAGTACTATGTGGCCCCAATTTTTTTTTTTTGTGCACACTGCACTTATAATTTTCAGAAGGGAGGGGGACACTTGGCTACAATAGCCTGCCCTTCTTGAATTTTTTAACCGATCCTATTTGTGTACTTGCGCCGCATCACGTACACGCGCATGCGTGCTCATGCGCTATGCAGCACACCTGCGCAACTTGCGCGCACGTGATGTGCCACATGTATGATAAAATCTGGACCGAGATTCTGAGAGCTCAAACTCTTTAGCATATCCACATGCGAGGAATGAGCCCTCGCTGTAAGCTCTAGGCCGCGGCCTCCCACAGCCCAACGCCCCCCCCCACAGCCTCACGCCCGCCCTAAGTGAAGGCGGGCCTGCATTTGGAAACAAGGCCTATTTTTGGCATTTCTGCACTGTGGGGCTCCAGACAGTTACCTCGCGCCAGTTGGTTACGGGGCCACGCATATGTGAGCACAGCATGCAGACCCTCTGGGCTCACTCCAGCAGCGAGGTGGCCAGAGGCTCTCGGCCAATGAGAACGCAGGGAGTGGCATGGCCAGGCCTCTGTAGGCCAATGAGAATGCAGCGTGCGACAGCAGTCACGTCGAACAGTTGGGCAGCCTCAATGCTGGGCCTGGGCACGGACACTTTGGCCCAATGTGCACACGCACGCTAGGCCCAGGGTTCACTTTTCATAAAGGAAAGTGAGCGCCCAGCCAGCAACACATTCTGGCTTAGCAATGCTGGGTGGCCACGCTGCTGTGCAGGCCAGGGCGCGCGCAGGCGCTAGGAGGTGAGAGGGGGCTGCGGTGGCAGCGGGCGCACGGCGGCCATAGCCGAGCTGCTGGGCCACATGCCAGCAATGGTGGTCTTCGGGAGAGGAGGCGCATGCTGAGGGGAGACAGGGGGTGATGAGAGCAGAAGAGACACATACCTGGTGTATGCTGGCAGTCTGCATTGGCGACGTCGTCACGTGCATTGGTCCTCAGCTCGAACTGACTGCTGTTGCATACACATAGTGTAGGCTAGTATAGGCCGAGTAAGATAGGCTGGGCGCTGAGCGCCGATCAAGATGAGCAACATTGGATACTATGTTGTTGTGGCGTGAGAGTGTCGACATTGACATTTGAGTTCATTGTATTGCTCCTATTTGGCTGTTATCCCAGTGCATTGTGCTTTTCTGCTTGGTACATGACAATCTGGTCTACAGCGTGATATTGCAATCTGGTTTTCTGTCTATCGTTCTCGCTCATATTACTTGCACATATCACAACCAATGTCAAATTCTTGTTGCAATTTTAATTACATTCATTTCATTTCATTAGCCAATTCAAATCTAATTTGAACATGACGCCATGTAGCCTAAACAGACACCATCAAGTACAATTTAATTGAATCCGCCGCCACCGATAAGAAGGCACACGGTGTTTGTTATCCCATAACCAGCAGATCACACGGCACCCACACTATTGGACACCGTAAATGAATAACCGGGGGAACAAGATGCGTAGATGTTCTGGGCCGCACGCGCGCTACACTGATGAATCCAACGAGTCGCTTGCCTGGGTCGAAAGGCCCGGGTAACCTTCTTAAGGTTCATCGTGACGGGGATAGATTGTTGTAATTATCGATCTTGAACGAGGAATGCCTAGTAAGCGCGAGTCGTCAGCTAGCGCTGATTACGTCCCAACCTACCTTGGGAAGCAGGAGGAAGAGGAAGCGGAGGCGGCGGAAGTGGCCCGCAGCGA